TAAGCCACAAATAGTTATATTTTTCGCTTAAGCGTCAAATATTTCCGTCACACATTGTTTGCCATTCCATAATGGCCACCATTTGCGATGTTTCTTCTATAAATTCACGTTTATCTCGCCATTCATAATTGTTAAGTGGCAGCCATTTGGGCATTTCGATAAATAGCCATCCCACCGCCATCGCCTATTTATGGCGATAATTAAAAAGAGGATTTTCCACCGAGGCATTTAATACTGGCTATGGTTTTATATTTTTTCCCCCTTTTTTCTATTTTTGCCCAGTGTTTTGAGGGGGGGTTAAGGGGTTAAGCGGGAAGATAATCCAGAGACAAGACCCAGATCAGGCTATCCGGCAACCACTTAGGCCCATCCCCTGCTAACCACCCCTTCTTGGCCCGCTTTTCTTCGCTTTTAGCTGCTTTTCTTCGGGCTGCCTTTGCCTTAACAAGCAGCTGGGCCTGACAACTGTTTGTTGGCCCCCCGATATTACGTATACGTATATATATTCGCAGTTCAGTTTTAGTCGCTTGTCGTGTGCAGGGCTATTACCATTAGTTGTTGCTGCTTTTTGTTGCCTTTGCCACTTGACACTAAACGAAAATGAAACTGAAAATTGTTTCGGCCGAGCCGCAGGCGGCGACAGCCGTAAAACACAAGTAAACACAGAGAGGCAAAGGCTAAGCTAAGCCGAAACCTGAATGTCCTTCGAAGGACGAAGCTTTACTTTTTTTTTGGGGGGAATAATAAAGTAAAAAAAACACAAAACAACTCAAACTTCGAACCACACATCTAGGGCTTATGCTTTGGGATTATATTCTCCGGAAAAAACAAAAGTGCACAATTGATGAACACTGGTTTTGTTGCATTCCCTAATGGAGTTTTTATTTATTTTCTATTTTCCCCTAACAAAAATATAATACTCTAAAAGGTAAACAGTTTCTAAAGCCACACAACCATTAAAAGTTTTCACTTTTTCTCGTTTAGTTTTAAACGAAATAGCTATCACACAGAAACAAAAATTCACAAAAGATCAAATTGATATGTGAAGGTTCATTTTGATATGAACCAAGATTATGTTTATCTTAATGTACAATATTTGTTTAAAAAAAATTCTGAATGTAGTATTTTAAAAGAGAATTTTTATAACTTTTTTATAAAATATAAAGTTGATATGTTTGAATCATTAATTTGACCTTATTCATTTTGGCTTTGTATTAATTTGAAATAAGGTTAAAATTACCTTTTTTCTTATCGAATTTTTTTCTGTGCAAATGTTGAAGACTTGTTGATTTTCCAAAAAAAAAAGGCTTCTTCTAATTTGTAAACTAATGAAATCTAAATCCCACAGAAATCCTACGACTTCATTGACTGGATTAAAAATAAATTTTAGATTAGCTACAAATCTAATTCAATCAAAAGTTTCCACCTGCATCTTTTGTGGCCTCCTGGGAATGAATGGATGGTTTTTTAATGTGTTAAATAGTGGAAAGATGCCTGTTGTTGTTCTTCTTCTTTTTCCCCCGAGTCCTGCCACACAGTGCATATGCTGTTCGTTCTGTGTCCTGGTGAAAATTGTTGTGGCAAGGCAGTTGGGAAATGTTTACAGTTTCACAGCCACTTGAAAAAAGTTCTCCCTTTGCCACGCCCCCTTGTCACCCCCGCCCCAATGGTTTTTACTTGGCCAGGTTATTTATAGCTGTCGCTCGTTTGTTGTACGTATTTTTTAATAAGTTGTTTTTGCCTGTCGCTCGGTTTATATTTTGCATAAATTATGTCAGCTACCGACCAAACCTCACTTTCTCCCCCATCTACCCTTTCTTCCACTTTCTCCCAGCGACAACACTTTAAAGTTTTAATGGCTCTCCGCCTAGGTTTCAGTGTATGTTCATGTTTGTTTGTTTGTTTGCCTGCTTGTGTTTTATTAATGAGCTGCGCCAAATTAAGTTTAATGTGTGTGAGTTATCTGTGTGTTTGTTGGAGAGTTTGCATATTTAAATGTTGCAAGCTGTCGCTGTCTCTGTTACTCCTGTGCCCTTTTTGTACAGGAAAAATAATTGTTTGTTATTTATTTACCTAAAAAGTGATCTATACAAAAGACGTAATGTGACCATGACTGTTATTGAGTATTTCAGTGTGACTGTTTACTGTGCAGACATGTTTATGCGTGCTAAGAATGGTGCAATAATATGTTATCACTATTTCACTTATAAAAACACTGAAATGTAACTTTCCTGTGACATTTTTTCAACGTGTAGCATCTGTCATCTCCCCATCGCCCTTTTGCCACCGTCCATCTCTGTTTGACATTTATCATTTATAATTGTTTTGACTATGGCAAAGGGACTTCCGAGTCCGAGAATCTGTGACCGAAAACAGGGAGGCGGTGGGTGGTTAAGGGTAAAAGTGGGCTGAGCTGGGAGGTTAAAGGGATTCATGTAACGGTTTTCTTTGTGCATGCATATATTTTGACATTTTGACATGCATTAAATCAGTCAAGCGTAAGCCACTTTGAGCTCCTCCTTTGACTCTGCGGTGCACGCTCAGCTGCTCTAGTCCCGTCTCTTTCCTTTGAGCTCCTCTCGCCTCCTCTCTTTCGCACACACACTCCATTCATCCATCTATCCATCCATCCATCTCCGTCTCCATCTCATCTCGGTCTTTTCGGGGCGCCAAGTTTTGGTGGCAAAGCGAAAACCGCAGCCATGTATTTAAATGCGCACTTAAATTTTGAATGCAACTTGAGAGAGTTTCGAGTGCCACTGAATGACACGATATTCCATATATATATATATAAGTACATATACTATATATAGTATTAATGATGTCAAACTGCCGGAGGGTCATTCACTCAAGTAATGGCAACCGGCGGCGGGGATTACACTCCCTTTTGACTTTATTCGGCTTTGATCTTTCGGTGCTTGATCCGCTTTGATTTGTCTGATTTGCCTCAGTCCATCTTGTACTTTTTGCTTTCGATTTGTGGTCCATGCACAGGAAGAAATTTGTTACTGAGTGGTTTTATTTAGGGGCAAGGGAAAAGGAGATGATTCAAAGATGCTTTATATGCATCACAATCTGCTTTGGTCATACTGAAAATGTATGTGTGTGTGTGTGCATGGTCACACTATCCTAGCTTTAAACTAACTGAATTTGACCTTGGCTCTACAAAACCTTGAATAAATTTGAAATAAAACATTCTAATTTATGTTTCTATGTGGCACAAACAATTCAAGGTCAAAATCCAAGCCCTAATCAGTCATAACTTAAGGATTGATCTCTTATCTTGCCTCTTGGCTCTACAGATGTACCATCTCGACATATATCTGCAGATCTTGTGCTCCTGGACACTCCCCATCCATCGCGAGCCCTAAATTTATGGCTCCTCCCGACAGCCGCAGAGATTTGGCGCTGGGAGCAACAAACAGTTTACGGAAATTTATGTGGCCAGAAATTTGCACATGTTAATTGCTACAAAGCAGGGGGCGGAATGGGTGGAAGGGGCGTGACCACTGCGACGACGACGACGACTACGACTAACGGTACCCAAGGCCGATTGTCCGCTGTTGACGCCGAAAATGCTGCGAGTCGAGAATTTATGGATAAATTATCGAATTTATTTATTTTCCGCTTCTCTCTCGTGTGCTTGTGTTTACTTTCAGATTTCTTTTAAATTTAGCTGCAACAATTTTTCATAATTTTGCCGTTGGCATAAATCAACGAAAAAAAGAGAGGGGTACAGCAACAAGAACAACAAGCATATCCATGTTTCTAGTCATTTGTTTTGGGCAACAGTTTTGCAGTCACCGCACGCAGGCGAAAGCGACACAGTTTTCATCTGGGCTCCCTGGGCCCCCTGGCTTCCCCTCCCCCCTCTCGCTTTTATTATTTTTTCCTGCCAACAAAAGCAGGCAAGGACCCAGAAGAAAATGTGGCCATCGGGCGGGGCGATGCGATGCGGTGGGGCGGTTTTTAGAGGGTGGCGCTCCAAACGGGTGGCGCTGTGGGTGCACTCGGAAAAATGCTAGATCAATAGAGAAAGCAAAACTCAAACGAACTTTGTATCTTAGCAAACCAAAATGTTTCTCACTAAACGTGAAGATTTGAAGACATTTTAAAGATCAATCATCAATATCTTAATCGTTTTTTATAAGATTAAAATATACATACAAAATTAGCTCTTAAATTTAGACAATAGTGTATAGAAATACCAACGTTCTGCCGGCATGGTCACACTACAGGATTAGCCTTTGAATTTAGAAAGCAATGTATAAAAATACCACCCTTCTGCAGGCATGGTCACACTACTCTTTGTTTTCTTGAAATGTACAATAGAATTTCACAATATTGTGACCATGTTTTTTTCCAGTGTGCAGTCTGAGCGTTAGCGAGAATGAGCGACGATGTCTGGCACAATTACGCCAGCAACAACAAGTGCAACAACGGGGCAGCATCTATAGTAGTGGCTACAGAAACAACAATAACGAATAACGTATAACGAATAACGAAAAACCCCCGACGGTCGTCGTTCCCGTTTGTCGGTGTTATTACCGTTACTCTTCTTTGGCGTCTTTAATTAAGGCGTGGGCAGCGGCGGGCGAAACAAAAATTTTAATTTGTTTGTAATTAATATGCTGAGGTTTCGTCTCGTCGCGCAAAAGGATGCATTATTGTGCATTGGTCCCACTGAATGGAATGTGACACTCGACACTTGAAACTCGAATTTATTAACTGCCGACAAAATTGCATTGCATTTAAATTAACTTAAGAACCCCACTGGGGCTTTGGTTTGAGTGAATTTTAATTTCATTTAATAAACTTGATTGCATTTGGAATTGTTTTCAGTTTGCAGTTGCAATATATGTGGAGTGGTTTTATTTGGCAACCACTCACAATTTAAATGTAATTAAATACATTGGATTTGCTATTTCCTGTAATTTGTACAGTCCCATACTCAACTCAAACTGCACTTTGGCCACACTAATCGATCTCTAAGCACTCACCTGATGCTTTTCCTTAGGATTTCCGCGATCTGTTGACAACTGTTGCCAGTGGATCGCAATTTAATCACTTTTCGCTTGATTTCTTCAGTCCACACTCCACGTTTAAAAACGGTACGCGATCCAAGCCGCTTACAAAAATACACAACACTATATATTTCAATTTGTATCCTTTATCTTAAAGGGAAACCGCCAATTGTTGTTGTTGTTGTTGCTTCAGCTGCTGGCGATTTTGGCCATCAGACAAAAACTGTCGGCGGCGCCGCGTGCACGTGGTTTTGGCCTCTGTTTGGGCCATGGCTAAGCAGCTCGAATATAGGACTTGTAATCCGTAGAACTTTTGCAGGACTTTTAGTTATTTCTCGACACTCTGTGAAGCACTTGCAAAAAAAAGGGAAGTTTGTAAACAAAACACTGTTAAAATCGCGTGTTGGCTGGATTTACTAACTGTTTTCAACGCACGCGAAACGAAAGTTGTTGTTTTTCCAAGTTTTTCGATGCGCGGAGCGACCGTTCGGCTTGGAACACAATTCAATTGTGTTGTAAAAAATTGGTTGGCAGCTGCCCGTTTTGAATTTGAACCGGTTCGGCAGGCCGCTATCGAACCAGTTCGATTTCGAAGCGATAATCATAACAATGCGATTGTAATAGTTTTTTTAACTCTTATTTTGTTATAATTAAATTATAATTACTCACGAAAATAGGGAAAAACGTAAGGAAACGTAAGAAAAGAGGAGATCGAAACAGTGTAGCCACACCTGTGGAATATATCGGAACTAGCTCCGCGGTTGTGCTCTTGGCTAAGCATGTATTTATGGTATTTTTCAAAAACCCCCCGCCTGGTCGCACTAAAATCGCTCTGCTTTTTTTTAGTTGTTGTGAATTAAATTAATTAATGCTGATTTAAGCGAATTTAAGCAATTTCGAGGCTGTGCGAAGAGCCGGTCAAGCGGTTTAGCCATGAATTTCCCGCTGGCGAGCGCCAACAACAAGGAGAGCCTGCGGGCGGCCTGCAAGAAATGCGGCTACGCCGGTCACCTGACTTATCAATGCCGCAATTTTCTCAAGGTAAAAACCGCATGTCAATGGGAATATATTATAAAATATATATCATTAAAAACAGGTGGATCCGAACAAGGAGATACTGCTGGATGTGGAGAGCACCAGTTCGGATTCGGAGCTGGATTACCTCACGCCGCTCACGGAGTTGCGGGCCCAGGAGCTGAAAAGCGGCAACAGCGCCGCCAATCCAGCGGATGCACTGCATCCTCCATCGCTTCCCTTGGAGAAAAAGCAGCCGAAGAAGAAGCAGCCCAAGAAGAAGCACAAGAAGAGGAGCAGCAATAGCAAAGATAAGGAGAAGGAGAAATCCCTGAGGAAGCACAAGAAGCAACACCACAGCAAGAAAAGCAGGAAGCACAAATTAAAATCCAGTTTGGAGCAACTGCAGCAGCAGAGTAAAACCAAAACAACGGGCAAGCGACCCAGCAGCGGCAGCAGCAGCAAAAAGAGCAAGAGACGCCGGTCATCCTCCACCAGCGAGGAATCCTCCAGTAGCAGCAGCTCCTCCTCATCCTCCTCCAGTTCCTCCTCTTCAGAGGATTCCGACTCTGATAGCGAGGATAGCACCTCCACCAGCGATTCCAGCGACAACGAGGAGAGCAGCACCAGCGAATCCGATGAGTATGGGCGCAAAAAGAAGCGACAAGGCAAATACAAGCGCAAATCCTCGGACAACTCGGCCATGCTGCGTCGCAAGAAGACCAAGGTGAAGCGGAAGCGACATCGCGCCGGCGGCTCTGGTGGCCCACAGGCGGGCAGCAGCTACCTGAGCAGCCTCAGCGACAGCAGCACCTACTGATTACCGATTAGAATGAGAATCTGCATCTGAATCTGGATACACAACAGCTGCCTCCAAAAACAAGCACTCGCCTAGTTCGATTTCCGTTTAGCCGTAAAGTTAAAAAATAATAACAGGGGAGGATGACGAACCTCCGCCCTCTTCCACACACAGAGACTGCCTCCAGTTATCCTATCCCCCGATATACAAAAAACATAAAAACTCTTCCCCGGATCACGAAAAGCAAACACTAAACCCTAGACTTGTCCTAGCCCTTAAGTTTCCAGCCTAAAGTGCTGCAAATACAACAAATTAGTTTGTACAAGAGGAACGTTTGACGAGTTTTTAATCAGGGAAAGAAAGGGAAGAACCGCCGAGATGCTGTGGGACTTTATAATAATAAATAATATAATATTTAAGACAGGGACTGCAAATTAGTGTTTAAAATAAGCTTAAAAAGATTTAAAGGCCGAAACAGCGTCCAAAAAATATGGGAAAAATATATAGAACATTAAAAGGGATTACAGGTCCTTAAAATGTCCGTCTCATAATTCATTGAAAGGCATTGACTTGAAAATCAATGCTGTTTTTAGATTTTTGCAATATACCCATTGGTTGAAAAGATATTTGCATTCAATAAAAATTTGAGAAAAAGCCTTTTTTAATTTTTATAATAAAAATTGGGGGTTAAGACTTATTTTCAATGTTTATAATTTAAAATGGAGTATAAGACTTATTTTCAGTTATTATAATTGTAAAATTAAATGTATAATAATTCTTATTCTCCAATTTGTATTATTAAAATTTAGAAAAACCACGTTAAAGAACTTAAAACAGGGATCGTAATTATTATGGTTTTAAAAGTATAAATTTAAAAAAATTGACATTATTATAATAAAAATGTCTTCATAAAAATTACAACATAAGAATTTTGAAAAAATCCCAATTTTTATAAAAATTACAAGTTTTTTTTTTATTAATTTATATTTTTTATTTACAAAATCATAATAATTACGATCCCTGCTTTAACTTCTTTAACAGTATTCAATCATAGCTCTTTCTCCAATTTAAATCAGAACAAAACAATAGTTATTATCAGCTTATCTATATATTTAATTTCCCAAATCATAATTCAACAAGGTAACTAATATCTTTTAGAAAACGATCGTTAAATGGTCATAGTTTTTATTTTTAAGGCTATACTGGTAGTGTGTGGCTTGTAATTATCGATATGTCAGGCATCCTGAACAAACAATTTAATACATTTTCGGGGTACTTAAACCCTATGACTACTATATCCGAACCGTGCTGGCATCGTTCGGTTTCTGAAAGATCCGCAGTGCCTCCTGCAGGACGGCAATGTGTCGCTGCATTTTGGCTATTTGCTTGGAAGACAGCTCGCAGTTGTGACAACTGGATTCCAAATGGGAATCTCTTTGTTTTTTCTGCTCCCTGAGATCGCCATTCTGGCTGAGGAGTTCCTCGCAAAGCGAACAGGCGGAGCAGCGCAGATCCTCGAGCGCCTGTTCGCGTGCCTTTAGGTTTCTCTTAAGCGCACGATTCTCCCGCTTGAGGTTGAGTAGCTTCTGCTCCAGCTCCAACATCTCATCCTCGCTGTCCTCTTGATTTTGAGCAGAAGGAGGAGGTGGTGCTACCACCGCTGACTTTCCTCCTATGCGCTGCATGGCCTGCAGTATGGCGTCCATTTTGTGCTCCATCATCGCAGTGTCTAGAGTCTTTAGTGTCTTTCCCTGCTCCTCATTCGATGATGAACCAATGGGTCGCGGCAGTGGCGTGACTATCACATCCTCGCTACGTTGTTCCTCCTCCTCATTCTGATCCTCCAGCTTCTCCAGACTGCTGGGCATCGCTATCCTTGCACGTGGCTGCGGCTGTGGATTCCCTCTCGGTTTAGACAAATCCTCGCCAGACTGCTGTTCCACTGGCAGTTTGTTTTTCAACATATAGCCCACAAATTCCTGCTCATCCGCTGGCTTCTCGAATCGCAGGCTCCAGAAACGTTGCTCTGCATCGTAGAACTGCAGATAGGACTCCCGCAGGATGACCTTTCCCTGGTGATGGGTGGTCAGCACCTGGTTTTTGCTCTTGTAGACAATCAGCTTGCAGCTTGGATGATCCAGATGATCGGCGGCCAAAATGGAGAGGGCCAAACCGACGCGTCCTAAATTTTGGGAGCTCTGATAGGCATGAACCACCTTGGCGATCACCGTGTTCCAGGTGGGCGAAGGAGGATCTCCCTGATCTGATTTGGGAATCCTGGGAATACCCGGCTTTTTGATACTCTGTGATTTTTTGGAGCCACCCGGTTGATAGCGCAAACTGGAGGATTCCTGCTCCAAGGCACGGCCGTCATCCTCGAAGATCTGACGCAAATTGCGGGGGCTAAAGATCACATTTACAGGGCTTTAATATCGTATCATAACAAAATGACATGGTAAATGTAAATAAGAACCTGCGGAAGTCGTCAAAGAAGTCCTGGTGGTCCAGATCGTTGAAATCCATGACGGCTACTTCACCAGCGTTATATCACTTGAATTTGTACCGACCGACCAACATATATCACTACACTTAAGGCCCGTTTCAACAAAAATACATGAATTATTAATTACAAAATAAAAAATTAATTAGGGATGGGAGAAACGCATAAAATACAAAATTAGTGGTGGCTTTTACGATGCGATAGCCATCGTCACCATCCACATACCGAAATAATACCAAATATATACCATAAATATGTATCGTAATTCAAATTGAAATATCTTCAACAATTTAGGGAATATATTTATAGATTGTACAATAGTAGCCATTTTTTTACCAATCATTTTATTTAATTTATTGTATACAACCCTTTCTCAATTTAAGGATTGGATGATCTATGGTATTTGTTCATTAATTAATAACCGAGTTTCTTTAAAACAAATTTATTGATTACAAATACCTTGTTTTCCAAAAACTGCAATTTTAAGACCTAATTTATGGTTTTTCATACAATAATACTCTTTAGTCTTAATAGTTATTTTCAAAAATAAGTTAAAAATAATATTAGTTAATACAGATTTTAATTTAAATTTTTAACTTTTTTTTTAAATTTATTTTTTATTTATGTTTATTTTCAGAATTGAAAATATATTTTTAATCAACCATTATTCCTCATTAATAACTAATACCATCGATTGTTTTCAAAGTCATGGCCTGCTAATTTAGCTATTTATCACTTTCTCGAAGCCAAGTTTTATTTTTAGTCATCCAATTTCACAACAAATGAAATGGTAATTAATATTTTTGGGCATAATATTCGACTATTGGCGGTAACCCCCTGGTCACTATATTACCGTCAAGAAATCAACTCAATATACTGGGAAAACCAGCGGGAAGAAATCTTATCAGGTTTACCAGAGAATCTGAGAGAATATAACACCTTAGAGCTCGATCTCTGCTCTCTGCAGATTCTTCCAGCATTAAACAAAAAAAAAGTAGAATATAGAGTTGACTTACCCACTTTACCAAGGTTCTTCTTGCTGAATTCGTATTTCACAATGAGCCCGCCAACCTTCCGAAGGCCATCCAAAGAATCAGCAAAATTACACTGAAAATAATAATAATTTTTTAATATTTTAATAAGGAATTTAAGTTAAAAATATATTATTAATCTTAATTTCTTAAGTTTGAGTTCAGTTTTTTAAAGAAAATAAATGTATATAATTTAGAACATGTTGGGTATTAATTAAACCAGAATAACAATATGTTTATGAGGTCGTTTTTACCCCACCTTAAAAAATTTCCATCAAAACAATTTTTTTATTATTATTTTTATTTAAAACTTGTAATAAAATTATTCTCTGTGCCTCCAACGACGCAGTTGCTCCCGATTTGATGCTTGATAAGCGCGGAGAGCGCATCATTTACCGCTTGTTCAAGTGCGTTCATCGGCAATATTCCGGCGATAAGGGGCGACCCCAGAGAGATCTCTATAAAGTAGCCAGCATCGCGGCAGCAGCGTTTCAGTCAGATCTTGGCCAGCCAGCGAGGAGGAGCGAAGAACCCGAGGCCCATATCATACAATCTAATAACAAACCCCCCGCCAGACGAGGTCCACCTGTTCCAGCGGATTAGGCGATAAGACAGCCATAAACACAGAGATCTGGTTACGTAAACAGAACAGAATTCCGGGAATAACATGGAGGTGCCGCCACCGCTCGTCCTCAAGCGACCACTTTATGTGCCCAGCAAGACGCTGATGGGTCCCGGGCCCTCCAACTGCTCCCATCGCGTCCTGGAGGCCATGAGCAACCCGGTCCTGGGCCACATGCATCCCGAGTGCCTGCAGGTGGGTTCTAATTATAATGTAATATAATAATAATGGAAAAATCACATATAATAATGTTAAGATTATAATTATAATAATAGAAAGGTTATAATTATAATAATAATAATATAATCAGATTTTCCACATCTTGTTAGGTCTTTAAAAAGAACCCACAAACTTAATCTCTAAATATCTTAATTTTATAAAAAAAAGAAATTAAATTTCTTTATTTTTCATAATTTTATAATCTTAAACCTTATAATATTATTCCCCACTGTTTGAAGATTGTTCTATTTACCTTATCGGGGGACCAAGTTAAACATTGAGATACAATTTACTGAGATGGGTCAGAGATCTGTGGACTATATACTACTCATATACTTATACTACATTACATTACATATTTTCAACTCAATATTAGTCTTACAATCTCGAAATGATTTCTTTTAAAATGAGAAATTATTAATCTTGATTATATTGATATAATATAATCACTAGATATCGTGATTCCTAACATTCGAATTCAAACGAACTTGGTTAAGATAAAATTATTTATCAAGAAATTACATTTAATTTTGAATTTTCTAGAACAATTCATCTTTAATCGAAGATCGCTAGGAGTCGAATGTTAGGAATACGTTCTTTAATGTACAAAATATATCATATTGATAAAATCTATTCATATATCATATCATAAACCCATACAATATAGATAAATATACATAAAATAGATCTCATGGATATAATATAATCACATGTCATATCATAAAACCATACAATATAGATAGAAATGGTCTTTAAATGTACAGATAGATCACATTGATATAATATAATCACATATCATATCAAAAAACCCTACAACATAAATAGTAATCAATATTCACTGCTCTTTAAATGCTTTCTATATCTGCATATCTCCTTTTTCCATCTCGCAGATCATGGACGAGGTGAAGGAGGGCATCAAGTACATCTTCCAGACCCTAAACGACGCCACCATGTGCATCAGTGGAGCGGGTCATTCCGGAATGGAGGCCGCCCTGTGCAATCTGATCGAGGACGGCGATGTGGTGCTCATGGGCATCACGGGAGTCTGGGGTCATCGTGCTGGGGATATGGCCCGTCGCTATGGCGCCGAAGTGCATTACGTGGAGGCGAGTTTCGGCCGGGCTCTAACGCTCGAGGAGATCACATTCGCCTTCGAAGCGCATCGTCCGCGTGTCTTCTTCATTGCCCAAGGCGACTCATCGACGGGAATTTACCAGCAGAATATCCGTGAGCTGGGCGAGCTGTGCCGCCAATACGATTGCTTCCTAGTCGTCGATACGGTGGCCTCGCTGGGCGGTGCCGAATTTCTGATGGACGAATGGAAGGTGGACGTGGCCTATACGGGCTCACAGAAATCCCTCGGTGGTCCCGCCGGCATTACGCCCATTTCGTTTAGTAAGCGCGCATTAACTCGCATCCGGAAAAGGAAATCCAAGCCGAAGGTCTACTATTTTGATATCCTGCTTATCGGCCAGTACTGGGGATGCTATGGCACGCCGAGAATCTATCATCACACCATTTCCTCCACTCTGCTCTACGGTTTGCGCGAGGCACTCGCTCACTTTTGTGCCGTGGGCCTCAAGGCGGTGGTGCGACGGCATCAGGAGTGCTCGCGACGATTGCAGCTGGGCATCGAGGAGCTTGGACTGGAAATGTTCGTCCAGCGGGAGGAGGAACGGCTGCCCACGGTGAACACAATCAAGGTGCCGTTCGGCGTGGACTGGAAAAAGGTGGCCGAGTACGCCATGCGCAAGTGGGTCTTCGAATCTATAATTTTAATTCATTAATTAATTAATTAAATTTTTGTTAATAACTTCAGGTACAGCGTGGAGATCAGCGGCGGTCTGGGACCCACCGTGGAGCACGTCTTCCGCATCGGTTTGATGGGCGAAAATGCCACCGTGGAGCGCGTGGACATGGTTCTCAGCATCCTCAACGAGGCCATCCAGAGCAGCAAGCTGGGCATCAAGACGGAACGATCCAAAATTTAATGTAGCTCCTTGTTTGTATTGGTTTTTAAATAAAATTTTAAAATTATCACTTGAACTTGGCGCCGATTAACGTCTGATTCACAGGGGTGCACTCAGACATATCGATAAATGGTTTTTTTTTAAATAGGTTTAAATTTATTTTCTTATAATTCCCAATATTGGTATCTATAGTTTCCACTGGTTTTAACACTTTCAAATTAAATATTTTAAATATAAAATAGTTAGAAAGAGAAAACAGAAATCCCAATATCTAGTCACATATGCATATTACACAAATGTATAATTTCCAGAAATTCCACTTCCCAATTTGTTTATTTTTCATGCCAACGATAACGATATGTTCATATATCATTTGTACTTGAAGATCGGAACTTCAAATATTTATTTAAAATATAAAATAGTTAGAAAGAGAAAACAGAAAACCCAAAGTATAATTTCCAGAAAATGCACTTCCCAAATTGTTTATTTTTCATAATAACGATGACGATAGGTTCATTTATACTTGAAGATCGGAACTTCAAATATTTTGAGAAATATTTAATAAGCAACCGGATGTTGTCAGAAGCTTCCCATTATTCCAAACATCTCTTCCCTTCACAAATTTAGGTTGCCCAGCCAATTTGAAGTCCTACTTTGAGGGCTCTCGGCGGAAAACAAAGTGCGACATGGGGATACAACTTAGATTTATTGAACGCCGACTCGTCCAAGCACTCTTCTCACACAGATAAAAAAAACAAAAAAAATTGTACACTTAAATGTTTATTTGTTATCAAAACTCAGTGGGCCGGTGGCCCAAATCATTTCATCATCCATCGTGTGTACTTAAAGTCTCCACCTGATCAGTTCGATCGATCGATCGAATTAACCCTGCTTCTGGGCCAGCTCGCGGGCCTTGGCGCGCTCCAGCTTGGAGATGCGGGCCAGACTCTTGGAGCCCAGGATGCCACCGCCCCAGTGGCGACGGATCTCCTCGTGGCGCTCGTTGAAGTTGGTCTTGACGGCCTCCAGGACCTTGCCGAAGTTGGCCTTGTCGTTGTTGTCGACGGTGGTCAGGGCGAGGGTGGTGCAGGTCTTGCGACGCACCAGGCGACCCAGACGAGCCTTGCCCTTGACGATGCAGTAGGGCACGCCCATCTTGCGGCAGAGGGCGGGCAGGAAGAGCACCAGCTGGAAGGCAATTGGATAGATAGATGGTTGTTGGCATTAGTTATTTGTTGGGTGTCTTGACAAAAACCACGTGGTCGCTGCTCTCTTTCTTTGGTTTCCTCCTCCTCAAGTTGCCCCTTAATTCCTTGGCTCTAAAGTATGTACTTGTCATCAGGCTCAATCTCTTGGTTGGTCACAAGCTCTTAAAGTTGAAAAAAACTACACTAAAACACAACAAACACCTCACTTCACGTGCAACATATTCGAAACTAATAACGATTACCGTGAAAAAAATACAATTTGTGATTGTTTCTAACAATTCAGATAATAAAATCATAAAAAAAATAATAATTTAACTAAAATCTTGAAAATTATCGATAATTTCGATATTTTGGCAATATTGAATCGATGTTTTCCGATGCAAAAATCATACAAAAAAAAGTAATAAATAAAAAGAAAAGAATTGTGATTGTTTCTAACAATTCAGATGATAATATCATAAAAAAAAATAAAAGAAATAAATAAAAAGAAAATAATTAAATAAAAGCTTGAAAATGATCGATAATTTCGATATTTTGACAATATTGCATTGATGTCTTCAAAAAAAAAAACACAAATAAAATATCGAGAAATAGCAAACTATCAATATTTTTCCAAGCTATACTTTGTAACCCCCACCCGAGATCAAACTCTAATATAGTACATAGCTTATAAAGGAGGATTTAAGAATCAGGCGTCAAGTCTCCACATGGCAGCTTTCACGCTCAAAAGAGAGCGGAATGCCTTCAGTTGAAGAAATTCAGTTTAACATCATATAAGGGCAACGAGAACGAAAACCCAGCGCTCCACAACCACATATATATTATATCAACCAAACCGAAACCAAAACTCACCTCCAGAGGATCAACATCGTGGGCAATGACCACCAGCTGGGCCTTCTTCTGCTCGATCAGCTTGGTGACCGTGTTGGTACCGGCGGACACATAGCTGGGCTTCTTCTTGGGCTCCACATCCTTGCCCTTGGCCTTGGCCTCGGCGATCTTCTTCAAGCGCTGCTTCTTGGCCAGCGGCGATTCGGGGCGGTACTTCTCCAGCAGCTTGAACAGCTTCACGGCGGTGGTCTTGTCCAGAGTCTGGCTGAACTGATGGATTGGTGGTGGGACCTTCAGGCGCTTCTGGAGCACAGCCTTCTGGCGCTGGACACGGATGTATTTGGGCCAGCGAACGAAACGGGACAGATCGCGCTTGGGCTGCACATTCTGGCCTGCAAAAATATATGGGATTAATAGATTTTTCTAGGAACATAAGAAAATAATTCCAAAAAAATATCCTTTTTTAATATTCAACTAATATAGTCTATAAACCATATCGTATACCAAAATTCAGCCTTGTAGGTTGAGTAGTTTGGTAGATAAACGAATTTATACAGTAGTTCTGATCTTGGGTAAAACCCCTATAACTTCTAAAGTAATAGGAATTTCACCAAGCGAAAAATCTTAAAAAATTCTTTGTAATATATAGAATATATATCTTACCGATTCCAAAGTTCTTGGGACGCTTCTCGAACAGCTGGTTGACGACCTTCTTGACCACGGGCTTCTTGACAGCCAGAGGAGCGGGAGCCACCTTCTTGGTCACTGGCTTCTTCTTTGGCCTGGGCTGTTAATTAAAATTACATTAATTAATTAATTATAGAGATAGCAAGCAGTTTATGGATTACTTACCTTCTTAACAACCATTTTCAAGCAGTTGTTTTAAGGTTACTACCGAAATAAGCAGATGCTTAAATTGCTGCAAGAGAATCAAGTAATTAATGAGTTAAATTAACATGAGAATTATGGAAAAAACTCGGAAAATCTAAACCGGCCAGAAAAAACACGTGCAAAACAAAAAAAATCAGATGTGCGTGTGTGTGTGTGATAAATTGGGTGTAAACAACAAGTATTTCGGCTGATATTTCAACTAGATTTTCAGCGTTTCATTGAATTTTATTAAAATTAGTTAAATTTAATTAGTTTTTAGGTTTTTTAGGGTTTTTATCAACACTTTTTTTAACACTTTTAGTTTTACCCACACACACACATGCACACATACACACACACAAAAACATGCCGCAACGCACGTTTTTGGTTCAATTCTGTTGGAATTTCTGCAATTTCACTAGAAAAAAAAGATTTGCGGGGTATATTAACCACTCCATGTGTTGTTTTCACTTTGTTTTTGAAGTTTTACACTTAATTCTGGCCCTAAAGCCCACAGTAAAAAAATATGTAAAAAAAATATGGGGTTTTGCACGCATTTTCGCTGGCCGTGGAACTTTCCGCGGTTTTCGCTGGACTGCTAGTTATTACCTGGGACTAACACGATCGCGAACGTATCGAAATACTCGCTGCAAGTAAATTAAAAAGAGGTTTTTTAGTACAAAACTCGAGAGCTGCTCGCCAGGCACATGCACTCACCGAAAACGTGGAACGGAAAAGAAATAGTAGAGGTTAGGGTTAGAGGTGGCAAGCAGCGAGGGCCGTCTTTTATCGATATTTCGACAGTGCAGGGCAGCAGCGCAGTCGCGAGTCGAAAAAGTCCCACCACTGAGGTGGGGAACTTGGATAAGAGGTTCGGGAATAAATAATACATAAAAAAGCTAAAAAATAATTACTTATTACTTATTAATTGGTTAATTACTTACACTTTTATAGAGCCAACTAATAAACTTTGTTCTACTTACCGTTTTAAGCTTTAAAACACATTAAATTACACTTTTATAGGCCAAATATCGGTAGTACAGAAAAGTAAACTGTGTTTGCGATTTAAGATCTCAAAATAGGCATGAAATAAATATATTAAGATTAATAAGTAGTTAAAAATGCACTTCTCTATTTCGTATAATCAAGAACATATTGATTAAAATATATATATCTGGCTAGAAACCAATTGAATCAAGATATTTTTTTATAATATCTTAAATTTTATGCTTAACATGCATAATTATAAATATTATATACAAGCGATGACATACGACTTAAAAAAATAGCCAATTCTAGCTAGAAAACATCGATAAAAAATACCAACCGATCAACTGGTGGCCGTATTTTGCCTGCGGTATTTTTACCTGGTAATTTTTAGCCATTTTCCGCTGTTGTCTCTCTCCAACTGGCTGCCCAAAAAAAAATAAATTACTCGCCTGCGCTTGCGCTAAATGCTAAAAAAACCGTTTTAACCGTTAAACGCGAGTTCTTCAGCCGCACCGAACTAGCGGCGATCGAGTGGAAAAGCGAAAAGAAAACTGCGGGAAAATGAAAGCCGTGGAAAATCGAGGCTAACAAACGCAGGCAGCCACCATTTTTAATTTCTTTGTTTATTTTGTGCCCATCTTCGCGTGCGAGCGAGACAGCGAGCGGCGGCGGCTGCGAAAGAGAGTGGGAGAGGGAGAGGCGGAGGAGCAGGAGTTTCCAATGGAAATGGGATCGTTTCAGGGATAAGCGACATATTCCAGCGATGGAAGCCTCCATGACCAACTCCTCCGGCGGAGGAGGAGGAGGGGGAGGAGGATCTGGATCGAGCGGCCCACCGGTGAACCACGCCCACGCCGTCTGCGTCTGGGAGTTCGAGACGCGCGGCGGCAAGTGGCTGCCCTATTCCCCGGCTGTCTCGCAGCATTTGGAGCGGGCGCACGCCAAGAAGCTCACCCGCGTCATGCTCAGCGATGCCGATCCCAGCCTGGAGCAGTACCACGTCAATGTGCGCACCATGACCCAGGAATCGGAGGCGGATGTCGGTACGTCTGGACTCCTAACCATCGGCGTCCGGCGGATGTTCTACGCCCCCAGCTCGCCGGCGGGCAAGGGCACCAAGTGGGAGTGGTCCGGCGGGAGTGCCGATTGCAACAACGACTGGCGACCCTACAACATGCACGTCCAGTGCATCATCGAGGACGCCTGGGCGAGGGTGAGTCTCGAAAGTTCGTCTCGTCTGCAGTCCAATTGGAAGTTGGTTGGAAGAATGCTCAAGAATTCGCGGGTTTGTCATGGAAACGTGTAGATAATCTAAAAGGATTTAAGATTCCATATTAAGATGTAATTTGAATTTTTAGAATGCTTAAGAATTCGCGGGAAACCTTTTTATATTCAAGTTCAAAGACCGCGAGGTATAGGTTTATCAGGAAAATATGTAGAAAATCTATAAGGATTCTAGATCCCAGATTTAGATGTAGCTTGGCACTTTGGGATGCCCAAGAATTCGCGGAAAACCTTCTTATTTACAAATTAAAAGACCCTAAGGTATAGGTTTATTATGAAAATATGTAGATAATCTTTATAGATTATATAGATCCGTATGGATTCTAGATCCCAGATTTAGATTCTCAAGAACTCACTAGAAACTCTATAATTTGCAAGTAAAAGAGCGTCGAATATAGGCCTGTCTTGAAAATATTTAGATAATATGTAAGTAGATATGTGTAGATTTAGATTCTCAAGAATTCATGAGAAACTCGCTAATTTGTAACTAAAAAAACCGTCGAATATAGGCTTATATGTAGATTTCGATTCCCAAGAACTCGCGAGAAACTCTCTAATTTGCAAGATTAAAGTGGAGATTTAGATTCTCAAGAATTAGCAAGAAACTTCCTAATTTACAAGTTAAAATACCGTAATGTAGTAAACATGTATATAGGCTTATATTCTTTATAACTATCATCACTTCCAAATGAACTGCAGAAGATCTTTTTAACTGTAAATCAACCACCTTTTCTAACTCTCATTTCTCTAATTTTCCCCACAGGGCGAACAAACCTTGGACTTGTGCAACACCCACATCGGCCTGCCCTACACCATCAACTTTTGCAATCTCACCCAGCTGCGCCAGCCCAGCGGACCGATGCGCAGCATCCGGCGAACCCAGCAGGCGCCGTATCCCCTGGTGAAGCTAACGCCGCAGCAGGCCAACCAACTCAAGTCGACTAACGCCGCCAGCAGCAGCAGTCAGTACAACACGCTGCCCAAACTGCCCATGACCAGGCAGCAGCATCCACTGCCCACCAGCCATCAAGTGCAGCAGCAGCAGCAGCAGCAGCAGCAGCAACATCATCACCAGCAGCAGCAGCAGCAACATCATCACCAGCAGCAGCAGCAGCAACATCAGATGCAGCATCATCAGGCGCCGCGGAAGCCGCCGAAGAAGCACAGCGAGATCTCCACGACGAATCTGCGTCAGATACTCAACAACCTGAACATCTTCAGCAGCAGCAGCACCAAGCAGACGGCGGCCAGTGCCAGTTCGTCCTCCTCGTCGGCCTCCCTGCATCATGGCAATCATGCGAATCACCTGTCGCATGCCCACTTCTCGCACGCCAAGAACATGCTGACCGCCTCGATGAACAGCCATCACAGTCGCTGCTCGGAGGGATCGCTGCAGTCGCAGAGGAGCAGCCGAATGGGCTCGCATCGCTCGAGATCGCGGACGCGAACGTCGGATACGGATACGAATAGCGTGAAATCGCATCGCAGGAGACCCAGCGTGGACACGGTGTCCACTTACCTCAGTCACGAGAGCAAGGAGAGTCTGCGCAGCAGGAATTTCGCCATTTCCGTGAACGATCTGCTCGACTGTTCGCTGGGCAGCGATGAGGTATTTGTGCCCTCGCTGCCGCCATCGTCGCTGGGTGAAAGGGCGCCGGTGCCGCCGCCATTGCCACTGCATCCGCGACAGCAGCAGCAACAGCAGCAGATGCAACAGCAGCAACAGCAACAGCAGGCGCAGCAGCAACAGCAATCAGCAATCGCCGGTTCGATTGTGGGCGTGGACCCGGCCAGCGATATGATATCGCGATTTGTCAAGGTGGTGGAGCCTCCGCTGTGGCCCAATGCCCAGCCGTGTCCCATGTGCATGGAGGAGCTGGTGCACTCCGCCCAGAATCCGGCCATCTCGCTGAGTCGCTGCCAGCACCTTATGCATTTGCAGTGTTTAAATGGGATGATAATTGCCCAGCAGAACGAAATGAACAAGGTGAGTGGGAGATTTGAATGTTAACTGTACTCACATTTTAAACTTTTAATATAAACTTTTGGCACTTATAGAAAGAGCACTCAATTCAAAGTTTAAATGACACAAAAATGTTCTTAACCCATTTAAGCACCCTTTGAAAAGTTTCCTGGGGCTTAAAACAAAAATGTTTTGATGCAAAGTTTTTCCCCATTTATAATTAATAATAACTGCATTGTATTGTATTTCTTATTTTGAGTGGAACGATCTCAGTAAAATTTTGTTTGAAAAGGAAAAAAAAGCGGCTAAAATTGTAATATTTAGCTATTTTCATAAAATCATAAAAAATACAAGGAAAAAAATATAATAAATATGAGTAGATTTAACTTTAAAATCTGTCAAAATAATTATGCCGACCAGTGCAGATCGATTGAATCAGAAAGAGAAAGCATATATCTATATATATATATAATTCTTTTAGAACCTCTTCATCGAGTGCCCCGTGTGCGGAATCGTTTACGGCGAGAAGGTGGGCAATCAGCCCATAGGCAGCATGTCCTGGAGCATCATAAGCAAGAATCTGCCGGGACACGAGGGCCAGAACACCATACAGATTGTCTACGAGTGAGTTTTGGAATGGGATTGCTCTAGAGTTGATCATTTTTATAATAACTCTTTAATCTTTTATAGCATTGCATCGGGCCTGCAGACGGAAGAGCATCCGCATCCCGGTCGAGCCTTCTTTGCGGTGGGATTCCCGCGGATCTGCTACCTGCCGGACTGCCCGCTGGGGCGAAAGGTGCTGCGCTTCCTCAAGATCGCCTTCGATCGCCGGCTGTTGTTCTCGATCGGACGATCGGTGACCACCGGACGCGAGGATGTGGTCATCTGGAATAGTGTGGATCACAAGACGCAGTTTAATATGTTCCCCGATCCCACCTATCTGCAGCGAACTATGCAACAGCTGGTGCATCTGGGCGTCACGGATTAGGAGATTAAGCAACCTACCAACCAATCAACCACCCATTTACCCACCGAAGTCCCTGGAAAAAAATTCATTCTTCTCTTCCATTCGTATATTAAGTTACTTCCTACATAATCTCAGTGTGTGTGCAATCATCATCCTCGTTTACTATGATATATTTTTTTTCATAGATATATTGTAATAGCGTGTTCAAGCTGCTCGAACCCTAAAAACAACAGCAAACCACAATTGCAATTGTAGCTTCCTTTCCGCTCTTCCAATTCGTATTTGTACGCACTTAGACTAGTTAACATTAAGACAAAGTACATCATATGTATTAGCTAGTTAGTTAGCTGTAGTAGTTTTTAGCTTCCAAGAGAATCTTGACCCAAGACACCTACTAGTATTAGGCATTAATCCTGATTCCTGATTCATCATTCGATTCAAGCCATCCCTAAAAACATTCGAGTGTAAGCTGTGCCAAAATCGTAGCGCTCTTCATTAGGAGAAATATGTATATTGTTGATTATAGATAGCATATAGATACCATCGCCCATCTCTCTCGGTTTCGAATTTGTCCCTTCTGCTTTTTTTTTTGTTAGTAATAACATCCGTTAGGATCTTCGAGAGAAATGGAGATGGGCTCATTCGATTAGATAGACTTGTCTCACTCGTCTTGGCCATTTAATCTCTTCCATTCAGCGAATTTGATGTGATTTTAATTTGAATTATTCATTATTAAACTGAGCCTGCTATATAGGGAGCATACATAATTGTAAATCAGCCAGATATTCCATTATACATACATATATATTACATTTATCATACCGCATACCACATACCATAATTTTTTTTAATTGAATCTTTTGCACACATTTGATGAATTGTTGCTTTCATATTGATATCATCGAACATCGAACTATATCGTATACATCGCCAATATATAGCATATATATATATAGCATATAGTATGTAGAGAGATTGTACGGACAGCTAGCGGATATATTATGTATTTGGTCCGCGTCACCATATTTGATATGATATGATTTTACTAAGTTGTATTTAGCACTGATTAGTTCTTAGTGTTCACTGCGAATATTCCACAACAAATTCCACACCATTAATATATGCATATTACATATATACATACAGTACATTTATACATAGTTCAAATAAAGTAACTTCATTCATGTTCAAAAGCTATTTGTCTTTTTTTTTAGGGATTTATGAAGCGCGGATTGCATTTGAACTACTTTTATACCTTTATTCTTAATGTCAAATTTATGATTAAAAAATATCAACTTAATATTTTAACATTTCATAAAAGTTATAAAAATATTGTTTAAAATACCAAATTTAGTATGAATTAATGCACATATCAATCTGATCTTTTGACAATTTTTTGTCTGTGTACTCCCTGAATGAGTATTTTAAATATTTATATAATTGTGTTCACTACTTACTACTTATATTCTTGAAAAAGGTGAAACTGCTCTTTCGGATCCCCAGTTTCTCTGCAAGGCACTGCATTTCAAATCAATCAGTTGACATTTTTGGGACTTCCAAGGTTCGTTTTCGTTTTCAGTTTCGTTTGCCGTTTAGCAGTTTTCAGTTTTCGGTTTTCGATTTCAGTTGCTGCCGTGAATCACTTAAAATAAATTAATAAAAGACAAAAAATCAGATGCATTTTTTGTCATTGTGCACGGAGTGCGTGATGTTGGCGATGTTGGTTAAGTTGCTCCGGGCCATTTAAGGCGCAGCGGCAACATGTTGCAGACGTGTATTGCTGTTGTTGTTGTTGCTGTCGCCGTGTCGCCTCTTCAACTGCCTACGTGCTGACGTCAGACAGGCGCAAGGACAGTGTCCAAAAGTGGCCAATAAAACGTGGCTTAAATGTGGCTTTCACTGCTCCTCCAAGGGCGGGCATCGCATCTTTCAACAGCAGCAACATCGGCAGCTGTTGCTGTTGCAAGGCGTTAGTTTGCCGTTAGGCATATTTTTTTAGATTTATTTCTATCAATGATTTTAAAATCCCTAAAATTTCTTATAAGAAAAAACACTTTTGTTAATAAAAGTGGCCCATGTTGCTCCTGCAGCAGCAACATCAGCAGCTGTTGCTGTTGCAAGGCTTTAGTTTGCCTTCAGCCATATTATTTTAGTTTTATTATTATTAATATTTTCTAAAACCCAAACAATTTCAGGTTAAAAAACCCTTTTGTTTATAAAAGTGGCCCATGTTGCTCCTGTAGAAGCAACATAATCAGTTTGCTGCTGTTGCAGTGTGTTAATTTCAATTTTAGCTATATTTTTTGAAGGCTTAACCTTGTGGAATTCTAAAACTATGAAATAGCAAACCCTTTTTTCGGCTTGGTAGCTGGAATTTGCACATATTGCTGATGCTGCAGTTGTTGCTCCTGCTGAGCCGGCTGTTTTCCTTGTGCCAGTTGCATAAGCTAATGTTTTCCTAGAATTTACAGCATATCATGCAGTCTTTATGCGATTTTATGCGACTGACAATGAGCGCTGATCGTTGACATTCAACACACGCACCCCCCGGGAGACAGAGAGCGATATACATATGTAGAAAGAGAGAGGTGGCAAGTGCGTGCGATGATGTTGATGATGATGAGATCGCTAATAAGGTGGTTTTGGCCAAAATACAAAAGCCTGCTCCACTGACCCTGTGGCATTCGCGCTTTTTTTTTGTTTTTTTTGGCCTCAGCCTCGTCCCGGCCATTTTCATTTTTTGTGATAAACATTGGCGATAAGGCCAACCGATCTGGCCCTCTTTCTCCAGTTCTATAGCTATCTTTGTGAAAACATCCTTATCTTAAGCTCTATTATCACACATATTTTATATACATACACCGAATCTTTCTGATTTTATAAGTAAGCTGACAAGAAAATTAGCTTTAACTCGTTTATAATAACAGCAAATATTTTGGGGTAAAATGGGTTAGGATCTAGTTCCACATAAATAATATCTCAAACAACAAATTCTTATTGGATTGTCATACAGCAAAACTCTCATCAGAAAAATATGCAAAGGGTTTGGCAGGCATTGACTTTTGTTCCTGTTTATGTTCTTGTTTTTATCATTTTTTTTTTATTTTTCTTGTTCCTGTCTTTCCACTATTCCCCCTCCCCCATCCACTTGCACGCCCAGTGGTCATTAGTCATGCAAATGAGCAGGGATTATCAAGTTCTGCGGCTCTCTTGCTCGCTCTCACTTTCCTTATCTCTCAGGATCAGCTGAGGCAGAGATATACACTGAGAAAAGTAAACCAAGAGTTAAGGATTTTGAATATCATTGTTTATAAGGGTTTTAGTTTTTGACAAAAATTTGAATTTTTCTTTTGGTTTTCTTGCTGTAACTTGGCTAAAAATGGTCCTACGCCAAAAATTCATACTGTTTTGAACAGATAACAAAATTTGCTATAAATCCATAAAACTTTCCGTGTAATTTTGAAAAAAATATAATTTTCGCCAATTTTTAATTTTATTAAAAGGGGGTACCTCATGATTTTTTGCGAAAAATTAAAAATAAATAAAATGTCAAGGTTTAAATGCCAATCGATAGGAAATTTATTAACGAGTTCAGAAAGGTATGGCAATCCATATTTTGATCAATATTTCTATTGTTATGGCCAAAAAATTGTTTTTTTTTTTTGGAAATTCGGGATTTTGTTTTTTGACAAAAATATAAAATTTTTCTTTTTGTTTTTTTGATGTAACTTGGCCAAAAATGGTCCTACACCAAAAATACTTACTGTTTTGAACAGATAACAAAATAATAAATAAATCCATAACATTTTCCGTGTGGTTTTGGAAAAATAAAATTTTCGCCAATTTTCACATTTTTTATAAGGGGGTACATCATGATTTTTTGCGAAAAATGGCCAAAAAATAAAATATCCGGGTTTTAATGCCAATCGATAGGAAATTTAATAACGAGTTCAGAAAGGTATGACAATCCATATTTGGATACATATTTCCATTATTATGGCCAAATGAATATATGAATATATGAATTGTTCCTTTTTGTTTTTTTTGCTGTAAAGTGATATATCACCCATATTACCCCCCGTGGATCCGCGCATGATTCCTATTCTTCTCGCAATAGTATAGCGCCTTAAAGTAGGCAATGACTTTAGAAACTTTTAGAATTTTGGAATTTTGGAGTTCTTTAAGAAATCTTTCTTCCTACTTATGGTAATTTTTTTGGAAATTTAAGTTCCACTTTCCGCGAGTGTAGAGAGCGTTGCAGTGGCAGTGGCGTCGACGCCAGCGCTTTTGGGCGGCCGAGAGAGCACGCGCCTAAATGCCACAACAACAGCGGCTTGCAATCAGTCAAGAGCCTCCGCTCGATCCAACCGCATCAGCCACGCCCCTCAGACCTCAGCTATCAGCCCTCCGCCTCCGTTTCCGAAACTTAAAAAACTCTCTTTTTAAAGTGTTTTTTAATTTTTTTTCACTGTTTTGTTGTAAATTATAAAGTGCTTGTTTTTAGTGAAATTATTGTTTTAAAAAGAACATATTTTTTGTTTTGTTTCGAATATCTACCTATTATATCGGCACATGTGACAGCCAGCAACAAATAAACCGCAAGTCAATCAAACAATCGCAGAACGCGTTTTTAACCGCGCGCAAGTCGCAGGCTAAGTTTTTGCCGGAGAACCAGCCGCAATTTGATCTTTCCGTAAATTAAACTATTTACTGTTTAAATATTTGCCAAGTACACGAAAAAGTTATATACATACGTCTCGTCTAAAATTACAAAAGCCTCGAAGTCGACGTCTCCCAGATAAAAAGCAGAAAAAAGCAGCAACAAAAGCAACAGGTGAGCAACAAATACACAGGTAGTGGCATACAATCATATATAAAGAATATATATAGGGACTTAAGATTGACTACAATGTTTGGGGGAGGAATTCTAACAGTTTTGCGGTGATTTCTGCGGTTTTCCTGCTGCCTGGCGCCATCTAGCGGCGTTTTATTTGAATATTATGCATACATTACACTGTTTCAAGAATTTGTAAAGAGGTTTTTTAATGATTCTTCTGATGTTTCTTAAATGGTAATACTTCTTTCTCTGGGATTATCTCCTAAATCCCATGTCATAATGGCATTATTATTAACCTGCTTTAAATTTGCATCTATGCTTAGTTTGCCTGCCAGTGCTGCCATCACTCAGCTTGAAAAACAGGACAGATAAGCCACAAAAAACAGGGAAAAAAAGGACAAAAAATTTAAGAAAAGGACAAAAAAAAGGACAAAAGTAAATGTGCCTACATTTTTCTGTTTTTACCAATGGGTTATATATTTACTTAATATAAATGGATTTTAAATAAAATTTAATTATGTAATGATCTACTGCGCCCGACTCACAACCTTCTTTGTTTGATCATTTTACCATGGTAAATTTTTGTGCGTATACGTAATTATCTAAAATTATTATAATAATTAATGCATTTCAAGTAACTATATTCGTAATACAAAAAAATTAAATATCTGCGTCAAACCCGAAAAAGAGTCGTTCAAATCTGAATTTTTTTTCTGACAAAAAAGCAGAGAGTAAAAATTAAGAAATTTTAAAAGTGCTTTCCTCTTTTTTTTTGCTACAGAAAAAATCGTACTATAAAGAAAATCCATCGACTGCTTTACGTCTCTTTGATAATTTGTAAAAAGAATTATTTTTTAAGTGCCAAACTGTAAGAATGATGGTTAAAAAGGCATTTTAGCAAATAAAAACAGGTTTATACACTTTCGACTAGCAAAAATAACACTCAAAACCTTTTTTTTTGAAAAAAGGATAGATTTCCGGATAGGGGATGTTTGAAATTTTTTCCGGATAAAGCCGTTAAAAAAAGGACAGATCTGTCCGGAAAGAGGACAAAATGGCAGCACTGTTGCCTGCCATAAATCTTGATTTTCGATAATAAAACGGTTTTTAATTGACCAACAGCAAAATATGAGAATGGTTTCGTTTTTTCCGTTTTCGGATTTTATGAATTTATGCGATCAACGATCGGCGTTCTTAGGGCATTGGCCACACGCCAGCCCCCGCTCGATTCGTATAAGGTATGATCAAAATATAAAGTATATCTTTGGGTCGGACGGACAAATATCTTTATTGGACCTCTGCTATGATGGATGACCCATAAATGCGTTAAATGGATGTTCGTCTGACATATAAATGCTTTGATTTGTGTTCGATTTAGATATTGTATTTAAATTGTTATGGCCGATGGGTAGGATCAACAATATAATATATAAAATTGATTTAAAGATTTATGATATTTTAAAATATTTTTTTTTGGGAATCTTAAGATTTGTTAAGAACTACATTTTCATTTTAATAAAATATAACTCCTTTAAAATTACCCATAATGCTTTATACCCACTGCCCTAATCAGGTGAATTTAAGACAATTCATTGAGACATTTTTGCTTGACACTTTTGAGCAGGAGGTTGCTAACTTGACCGGACTTTTCTACCTGTTCCATCTGGATTCCAAAAAACCCCCCCATCACTCGATCAATCGTAAGGTGCTCTCTTTCAAGCTGGCTCGGTTTTCAAGTTCAATTGCTCGATTGAATGGGGGCTCAGGGGCCAACGAGTGTTTGCCCAATTGTGGTTTTGAACTTGTTTGGCTTTTGGCCGAGCTTTTCCCCTGTTAACCACCCCCCCCGCCTCCGGCCCCGCCCACTTTGGATGGATTGCCAGTTGACCGAGCCCGTTGATGCTAACCAAAAGCGAAGCCAAAATGTTGCGGCCGTGCTAATCAAGCTGGCAACTCAAATGCACAGTGAGAAAAAAAGCCAGTATTTTACTTGATTAATTCTAAATATTTGGATATAAAGATTTTATTTAAATGATCAGCTAAAATCGTATTTTCCCTTCCAAACATCGATATTATCGAATCACTATTGTCAAAATATCGAAAATATCGATTATTTTTAAGCTCTACGCACTTTTCAGAAAAACTCTAGAAATGATCCATGAAAATATTTTACGATTTTTTTAACTAAACAAAAGAAAGTAACAAATGTTCTATAAATATATTTTTGAAGGAATAAGATGTTATTTATTTATTATTTTAAAGACCATTTAACAGAATTTTTAAAAGTAAAAAATTTTAAAAATTTTATATTTTTTGTTTTCAAAATAAAGTTAAAAATATTCTCATGATCGGTTCTTAAAATTTATTTGCTTTGAATACAACAAAAATTATGATTTTAAATCATTGTTTTTAAGTCATGCATTAGTTTCGCTCAGTGTAATGCCGATGCACTTGGCTGTGTCATTTGTGCGATTGCTTTTCGAATTTGATGTGTATATGCAGCTGCTGTCCATGTTCGAAGTTGGCCATTTACGGGGGAAATGTCACAACTCGTTGGGGTGTGGGGATCCCGCCATTCGATTCGATTCTATACGATTCCATACGATTCTATTCGATCCAATCCTATCCGATTCTGGCTTGCCTCGTTCGCAGTGCCCATAACACTGATCATGATCGATGGCAAGCGATATTACTCAGTTAAACTTGCTGGGGCTCCAGGCAGCGGCGACAAATTATAATCATCAAATAAATCAACATGAGAAATATGCAGCGAAATAATTGCATCATCAGCCAAAAACAAAATAATCTCACCCTCTATATGGAAGTAAACTCAAACTCAATCTCAATCTCTTCTCTATTTTTCAGATCTTCACATCTTTTTGCCATGGAGGTGGAATGCGATTTGGGTGATATACAAAATGAGGAGTTGCTGAGGAAAATGGTAAGTTCTGAATGCATTTTGTACCCCCAAAAAAATCCTCATATGAAACGATGATCATTTTGATATTATGTGGTATCAATTTTGACTTCATAAAGAGCAAGTTCTAAGTAGGCCAGTAAGTAACTTAAGTTAAAATACCAGAAATTTACCATGCGCATATCGATTTGATCCCGCCGTATTTTTTTGTGTAGAAATCCTTAAACTTTATTGCTTTTCAATAAACAATTAATGGCGATGGTGTGCGATTCTCCTGTCGCAGCTCATTGCCCATATTGCATTGCCTTTAAAGCCCTGTTTTTTCTTTTTGTTTTTGTAAAACCCAGACGACACTTTCGAGAACTGGCCAGAAGCGATCCAGACCATCCATGGCTGGAGATCCACTCATTCGGTTAGTCAGAGTGAACAGTAAAGTAAACCCAACCCAGTTCAACCTGGCCAAATTGGGTCATTTATGGGGTTGCCCACTGGTTGGCTTAGCTCGAGTTGGCCGCGTGGGTCGCTAGTCGCTGACTTGGCTCAGACATTTGCAATAATCGTTAAAAAGTCGTTAGAAAAGTCAATGGAAAAACGATGACGATGTCGCATCGGGGACCTGGCCAAATAAATGATCTATCTATCTGCATTAGTGAGGAATAACAGAGCGTAAACCGATTTTGGGTTCGCTTTTCGGAATACCCTTGAATTATATTTTTTGAATGGAAAGTATTTATTCAAAATAGAAAAACCTATACTCAAAAACTCCAAGATAATCGTATAGAATTTGATGATAATAATCAAATATCATGATATTATACATATATTAGATATCTTAGGATCATTAGGATTTTATAGCACAAAGTCAGAAACCTATTATAATAATAAATTTCTAATGAAATATAATCATATTCCACATGATCTTGTCAGGTTCCTAAATTGTGGTCTATAATATCATACCTTTATAGAGGGTATAAGAAAATAAGAAGAGACCAGACGAAAGAAGAAGCAACAGCAGACGATCTAAGGCCCACGCAGTCGGTGTGGAAGAGAGATAGAGAAAGATGGAGAGTGTGTGTGTGAGAGAGAGAGAGATAGAGACAAATTGAGAGGCTGCGACTGCGCTGTAGCTGCGCTGCAACTGCGACGGAGGCTGATAAAAAGCCTGCGATGATGACTCATTGCCCATGAATCAATTTTCAGCTTTGGCCTCTGAGCCCGCTGACCGCTGATGGCCTCCCCTACCCCTACCCCTCCCCCTTCCATCCTCCTACTCCTTTCTCTTTTTTTCCTCAGCCATCATTCTCCTTTCCTCCTTAACCAGGGATGGCTAAACAAGAATATAACATTTATAATAATTTCAGAATATTTCTAAATATTTCTGAATATTTCTAAATATTTTTGAATATATTTTTAAATATTTCTAAATATTTTTAAACATTTCTAAATATTATATTAACCAATTAGTGAATTTTAATCTTGTCCAATCGCATAACATTTAATTTAACATAAAACGTAGGCCTATACTAATTTAAAATGGCCAAAAACAAGAGCTGAATAAATTACAATAGTGCCCCAAAGATAACAAAATTTCAGAGGTGTTAAAACAGCAGCTGAAATGCCAATGAAAATAGCAATCAAGCAAACGTTGATGTGTCACATTAAATCTTATCATATTCCAAGCAATTTAAAAACACTTTCTTATCTAATCAAAATGAAATTTATTTGAATTTAACGAGGGAATGCAAGGTACCTATATAAAAGAAATAGAAAAAATTAATCCCTAAGGAAAGTGTCTAAATATAAACTTTTACATAGATGATTTTCTAATTTTTCTAATATAATATATATTATCCGAACTGTTATCGAGTATATAAAATTCTAGAGGTCGTGCATTTAAATCTACATCCCTGGCAGTTCAGAGATCTCGGCTCAGAATAAAACCAAAAAACACCAGAAAGCGGCGTTGGTTGGCCACGATCCGAGACTCTTGGCCATGAGGCGATTCAATTCAGCTTCGAGTTCGATTCGAGTCAATTCGATTCGATTCGTTTCGATTCAGGCTCGAGTCGAGAAAATCGCGTGGGTCGCCAGCCGTCGACTGCTGAATAAATCAGTGAGGCAAAGTTGAATTGGCACAAGAAAATAATAATAAATAAATAAATAAAACACCCGCGTATGGCGAATGGCCAAATGCAGCAGCAAGTGGTCAGTTTTCAGTGGTCAGTGGCCAGTGGGCCACAAAAACTAGACGCCGGTGGACAGTGGGGTGAAGTCTAGTCTAGTCACGACGTTTGCGTCTGCGCAACGTCTGCGCCAACGTCGATCGATGAGTAATTTTTTCGGGGCCTGTTTGAAATTCGAACACAAATCGGTAACGATTCAATGGGATAGGTGGGCGCCAGCGGCTCGAGTGCTTTCCAAAATAGTTTTGGGGCTAAAAAAAAAACAATAACGAGTGCTAAAGGTGTTTATTAACATACTGCAACAATGACACCCACCTCCGGTCGTCGGATCGAATGATTTATTATTTATTATTCCGCACGGACACGGATTCTTGGCAAAAATAAGCCCGAAATCGAACACGTTTCAATGCAATCGCTAGGAATGAGCAATGCACAAAAATATTACTTATATATTCGTTATTAAAAGGGAAACTCTTTGTCTAACTGCTTTGTTTTTATCGCAAGCGATTTTGTTGACCGATTTCAATATTTATACCCTTTTTCAGTTGCAATCCAAATCGAAATCTTGATATTTATTTTTACAAATATTTTCACATAGGTGACCCCGATTTACAAAACTGAACTCTAAATTTTGACTTTATGATTGATTGTTCTCAATAATATGAAATGCGAAATGCTCTTTTATTAATTTTGCTTAAAGGAGATGGGTTTTTGGTGACCCCAAACTTTAAAATTTTGTTCCTTATTTATTTGTGCAATTACTGTAGAGTAATTTTAATATTTTGTATCTAATTTGTCGTGTATTTTGTATTATTGATTTGGAGCTAGATGGAGCTTTATCATTGGTGACCCCAAATTTGGTAAACCGTCTTAGTTACTTCTTAGTGCTGATACAGTACAGTAATTTTAGTTCTTAAGTGCAATATTTCGTGTAAATAAAGAACTGTTATTTATTGTATCATTGATTTGGCTAGCTGAAGCTGAACTTTGGTGACCCCGAAGTTTTTAAATCGTTTGAGTTGCTTTCTTTTCATGGAAATGTAAATGCTTTTTAGCAATACCTAGAGTAATGAAAATCATTTCTATTTATATCACCCATTTCGCCGGCTTATTCGCTGCGTTTGTCCCACTGTGCGGCTGGGCGGTCGCGTCATCTTCGTATTCGTCGCTTTTTCGTATTCGGTCATATCTCGGCTCGCTGCCGGCGCCGACTGCGCTGCCGACGTCGTCCGCCGGTGACGACAGCGTCTAAGCGGCAGCGGCCACTTTAGGCGGCTTTGATTCTGATTGGAAACTTCAGTCTGATTTTGGTGCTCGATCGATTGCAACGTGCCGACGCTCCGTGAAAAAGAACAATCCTACAACAAACTACCCAAACAACGATCGCATATTATTTTTTTTACACACTATTATTTATTTATCAACCGTTGGAAATCAACAAAAAAAAAAAAAAGAAGAGAGAAACCCACAGGATTAGTCACACATTTCTTGCCACCAAGTGTTTTTTTACGTGCTTACGTTTGCCGGTGCAACAACAACTCAACGAATAATATTAAAAAAAAACTCCAATTACAACAACACAGCTGCGAGGAGAGGAAGAATTTTCGAATCAAAAAACGCAAAAAAAAGGAATATAAATTCTTTTTTTACCTGAGGTAATTTTTCTGTCATTTTGGACCAGAATTTCGGAGAATAAAACGTAAAAGAAGCTGTGCGAACAGGCCATAAAGTCATCACCCATCTCCCTCACCCCCTCACCTGCCGTCTCTTTCGCTCTCTTCCACCGTCTTCGCATAACTTTCACACTTTCGCACAGCTTAGCTTAACCTTTTTCCCAGTCTTTTTGCGTAACAGTTAGTCGGTAGTAGTAACTGTAGCTGTATCTGTATAATATCTGTATAATACAGGCATCGTTGGCAATAATGCAAATGCTACGGAAAGGTATAAGGTATAAGGTGAAACCAGGTCCAAGTCAACCCCAGAATTTATTATTCAACAGCACAATCGATAGTATAATGGGAATGGCATGGGAAAATAGTCAAGTGCAGTTTTTTCCTCCTTATAGAGTAGTTTTAAATCCAAAAAAATTGGAAAATTACATTGTAAATTAATTAATAATTTAAATTCTTTAGAAAAAGTTCTAAAATAGCGAATAATAGTTATTTCTTACTTCACCTCCCAAAATTTTTATATATTTTTGCAATTATCACATATTTGGAAAATAACACTGTAATTCTATTAATAATTTTGAATTATTTAGAAAAAGATCTTAAATATCCAGTAACAGTTATTCATTTCTTTACACCGAAAAAATCAAAATTATTGGAAAATGACATTGTAGTTCTATTGATAATTTTGAATTCTTTAGAAAAAGTTCTAAAATATCTAATAACAGTTATTTTTTTCTTTACCCCCCGAAATATTTGTATATATTTTTGTAATTATCACAGATAGTTTCGAATAGATTGGTATAACGCCTGCCAATTAGCGAGTGCTACCTGTACCCGAGTTCCTATCCTACACTTATTTATCTATCTCTAGCTGTATCTGTAACTGCGCCAAGTGGCTTGTAAACAAACAAACGGATCTTATCGGGGGAATTAGTGCCTATGGCTTGTGGCTTTTTGTCGCCAGTTGATCGAAGATCCCCGATCCCCACATAGAACAGCTGACAAGGGCGGGGGCGTGATTAAATACAAAAAGAGTTATACGGTATGCAAATCGGGGAGTGAATCTAATTACTGGCGAACAAGTTTACACCGCCGTGGGCCGTTGGCCTTGGTAACTGTTCTACGCTCTTACGCTTTTCCACTTTTCCACTCCACCGAAAACCAGATCACA